TCCTCAAAACGGAATAGTACCAATTTTACAAATTAAATTTTCTGCCTTTTTTTTTTTTTTTAATTTTTATTTTACTTTTGATGGCAGTTAAATAATTCGCTTGGCTATTTCGTTTTATTTTATCTAATATTTAAAAATATGTCGTAAGGAAACTACAAATATCATTAAAATGTTGATCATTTTTCATCGTAAGGGTGGAAAATTGATTCGGGATATCGCTAAAATAGTAAATTTATCCCATTCTATGGTGCAGTATGTCATAAAACACCTTAAAGAAGAAAATCAGATCAAAAATAAAGAAGAGATCATCCATCAAAGTTAACTTAACGTGATAAGATTTATAGTTAGAAAATTTGTGAAAAATGGATGTTTGAGTGCTATAAAGATCTCTAAGAATTTACTGAAATTTTTTTTACTTTAATTTCACTTGAAACTGTTCAACGAGTACTCAGATGAGCTAGATTACATAGGTGCTTTCCTCGAAGAAAAGTGCAAAAAAAGAGAAAGCTTACACTTTTGTTGGAAAAATCAGTGGTGAATAAGTCCGAAGCGTACTGGAACCATGTTTTATTTGCAGATGAAAGCAAATTTAACATTTTTGGTTCTGATGGTCATATGTAGGGAAGAAAAAACGAGAAACCTTATGCCAAGAATTTGGTTGAAACAATAAAGCATGGCGCTGGAGGTATCCTTGTGTGGGGGTACATGTCAGCATCAGGATTAGGTAATTTAGTATTTATTGATGGCATAATGAACCATACTCTTTATTTAAATATTTTAAAAGATAATTCAAAATTAGCCACCCAAAATTTGGGTACTGGAAACAACTGTATTTCTTATCAGGATAACGATTCTAAGCACATGGCTCTCAACATTCGCCTTTGTTGTCCCTATAATGTCCACAATTTCTGAAAATGCCACTTCATCACTAGATCAAAATCGACATAAAGCATTTGGAGAGAATTAAGGTTAGAAAATGAAGACACAACATAAAAATGAAAGCGAACTAAAAACAGGAAGAATGGAGGAACATTGATGCAGATAATTGCAGAGAAATAAAAAAAAAAAAAAAAAACTGGTGAACTCTATGCCTAGATGTTTGGAAGCTGTCATAAATGGTAATACATTGGGGGTACACTCAGACCCTCTTGTCCACGAAGTGGCCTCATGGTCAAGAGAAAGAGTGAACCCAAAATCGTCATAAAAACAATTTGCGTTAGTAATGCTACACTGAACGGCGAAGATGGACGTCTGAATGGCATGACATGGTGTTTTCAGACGAATCATGCTTCTCCTTGAAGTACCACTTCGCTTCACGCTCTGTAAAGGTAATAAATGCTTTCCTGGTTGTATAATGTTGAATAAATTAAGCTTTAATGTGTTCTGCATTACTGAATGAATAATACTATAACACCAGTGTTATGGTGAAGGTGATATTGGATATCACTCTTGTACTGTCCTAAGAATGCATCGATACAATTATCACTTAATGCTGCATCTCTGAGGTTTTGTAGTCTATTCTTGCTTGCGGCCACATTTCAACAGAACGATGCGCGAGCACATGCTGCATGCAATGTTCAAGCTTTTTTTCACCATAATGCATTGTTATCCTGGCCTACTCATTCTTCAGATCTATCGCTCATCGAACATATCGGGTCAATGATTGGATAACGCCTAACCCGGCATACCTCACCAACAGTGGTATGCCAGATAAACTCTGGCTATGTGCGGAGGCATCATGGGCTGCCATTCAACAACAACACATCCAAAGCCTCTTTCACTCAAAGGTATGACGTGTAGCAGCAGGTAGTGAGAAATATGGATGCAACGCTTATTACTGATATTCTTGTCTTCCTCACCTTAAAAAATCAGTATTTCAAATCAGTTAACCTTGATACTATGTGTAATCTCTGAAATAAATTTGTCTTTGATATCTCTTGTCCTTCTTCATATTTTGGATGGCAAGCATATTGTAGTCAAACAGTGTGATTTAATGCCAATGATGGATAAGCATGGCATCACAACATAATAAGTTCGTTTCCGTTTAATATAAATTCAGTTCATTCTTTATTATTCCGTTTAATTTTTTCTAAAGCAGGATATAAGTTCTACTTTTTCTTCACATTTTGAAAAAATTTTACTATTTGGAATTGCATGAAGTGGAGTATTTTCAGTATCCCGGCATCAAAAAGTCATGATATGCGATTTCAAAAACAGATAAACAGTGGCATGTAATATAAATTATGATAAGCGATTTAAGTTTTTCCACGTGCTATATACATAATTTGTATCTTTCTTGATACCCTTTCCTTGAGCATGTGCTATATTGCTTAATGGCTAATCCAGCTCTGGATTTCAGCGGTTTTTAATTTATAAAATTTAAAATGTAAGCCTTTTCATATTCAAGTTTGTAAAAAATCAAATAATTGCTTTTATAATTTTGCGGCGGAAATTCTTCCCATTCATTTAGCTTTTCTAATGCGAATTCTGTTTCTTGTATGTTCAACTATCCAGAATTTGGCATTTCCCGAGTTTCCTGGATAGTCGAGCTTTTACTGTTTACTTTTCATCCAAATCCTGATTTTTCCATTTTAAAAATCTTCATATGAACTCGAAAGAGTTTCCAAAGTTTTTCCAACTTTCTGCATTTGGAAACTTACATTTTTACTTCCTTGTACGAAGTAAAAAGGAAGTATTGTAATCGCGAAATATTTCAGGTATCATATTTCAACGAAAACATCAATTTTGACCGCTATCGAATGCAATTTAATGATATTTTTGTGTGACATCTGTATGTAAGGACAGAATAAAGGACTCTTTTTTTTTTTTTTTTTTTTTTTTTTTTTTTTTTTCCCCCAAACGAATTATAAAAATTATTTAAAATGGATTCAGAAGAGATTTTTTTACGTACGTACGTATGTATGTATCTCGCATAACTCAAAAACAAGTAGCCTCAGAATGCTGAAATTTTGTATATAGGACTGCTATAACATAAATGTGGACCTCCTATTTTGGTTGCAATCGGCAAAAGTATATAAATATATGTATATATATATCCACTCTGCTCAGTGAGCTGTTTCTTTATTCTTATATGTTTGTGCATTCTTTGCTTTAAAAATGATTGAATTGTGTTTTTCTTATCTTCCCGTTATGGTTTTTATGCCTTTAGTTAACCTGCATGTTATAGTCGTAGAATTATCAACGATTTGAAAGTTGTTTAAGTGCGGCTAAGTCTAATGCTTTTACGATAGCAGCCATATTTGTTTACATTTGAAACTTAGCAGAATAGTGGGTTTGCTGCCAATCTAGAGAAACTAAGCTTCGCAACAACAAAGTAACGTTATGTTTTATTATTGTCGATTAAATTATCCTTAATCCTTTCTGGAATTATCATTTAAGCTATTGAATTATCCCATATATTGACTCAGCATAGCGTCCACAACAAATTAAGTCAGTTTCTACGCCTTAAGCGTCTTTTTGCTGAGTGAGACCAAAAGTAAACTTTCAGTTTTGTGCACCGAAAAATCCGCCTTTTTGCTCGCTGGCTGAATTGCTTGAATTTTAATTGTAAATTTTTTTTTAAAAATTGTATTAACTGTATTTGGTGCTTTATGTTTTTCTATATCTTTCAATTTTTAATATAGATAGATATTTTGAGTTTTTATGCATTTTTGCCTTGTCGCGAAGGGAGAACTGAATTAATTGGATGAGAAATATATCTCTAATGAAATTCCAGGAAATAACTTTAAATGCATAGCAGAAAAGTGCGTAGAATTTAATATTACGTACAAGGAATTCATGTGGTGTACGCATCAGATTTTTTATATTGTAATAAATTTCTTCTCAATGTATTAAACCTTCGCACTCGAGCCGCGCTGCTACGGCTAATTTGAAATGTCTACTCAAGCCTGCTTTGCTAAGCGAAAAGGCCTCAAGTGCAAAGAGTTAATTGCTGTGTATGAAATAATGAATTTCCTTGTCAGATTTCGATTGTGCCTTGTGTTGTTTTCTGCTTGTCAAAAACTAAACATCCAAATCTTCTCTATCTTCATAGTACACAGTTCTCACATTCTTCTAGGATTCTGTAGATAGCTCTTCTTAACATGTTATATTCTGCAAATTTTAAGCTTCTCTAGCTGTCCAGCTATAATGTAGATTTGCTTTCTTAAATCTAAATGTGAAGACATTTTACATACATTTAATTCAGCTGTCATCAGCAGTGTATTTGAAAACCACATTTTGTAATAATATACAAATTATATGGGTTTAAGCAATTTTTGTGGCAGTGCCATTAGTTGATGTTCATCTTATTTCATTACATATATTATTGCTGGTTTTCATACACTCTCTCGCCAACATATATACAAAGCTAAGGGAGTAATATTTTCAATCAAAAAAATTCTGTATAGAGTTTTCAGTAAATAAGCATGAATTAGGGTTCCCGCAACATAGTTTCACTATTTTTACAATGTTTGCATGTGTGGCGGTATTTTTGTCCACAATAACTCTTACATTAACCTTCCAAAAATTTCTATTTTCTGAATTTCCAGCTTTCTGCAATCATATAAAGAGTTCATCAGTTTCTGAGTAAAACTGAACAACCGGAAATGGTACTTTACCTGATGCTTGCAAAAGATTTTAATAAAAAAAACTATATTAAATTATATCCCAAAACTTATTTCTAATTTAGTATTCGAGACTTTTATATTGATCGGAACAACATATTAGATTTTGGTTTAATACGTTGACTTCAGCACGGATATTCATTGTTCGTTTCGTGCGGCGGCGCTTGAATTAGTGCTCCATTTTGTGGGGCGGTGCAATGCCAAATTATAAAATTATAACTTTAAAATTATATAATTAAATTATTATATTATAAAATTATATATTTTATAATATAATAATTTAATTATTACGCTTGTATGTATTTTTTGATATACAAGCGTGACCCATCGTTGATTCATACTGCTTCACAAAACAGACAAGTATGACCCACCAGTGGGTTAGGCCGCCCCACGGAACAGGCAATTATGACCCACTGGTGGGTCAGGCTGGCGTCAACATGTTAAATTAATAAACCTGAAGTGATATTTTAATACTTGAAGCTGTGTACAGAAGTTTGTAACAAAATATACATTATGACATAATCCAATTGGTGAGCATTGTTGAAATATAGAAGTAGTATTATTTACCAATACCTAAATATTGATGGGATAAACGAATTTAGGTTTGTTGATACACAGAAATAATATAGAATAAAGTTTATGGTATTCATTTCAAAGCATTTATTTTAAATGTAAGCACTTAATTCTTTTAATTAAAATCCAATTCAATTACATGTTATTCATTTTCCTAATAAATGCAGTTTTTAATTAAAAAAGTAAAAGGGGGCAAATATTTGAATTAATAGCAATAAACATATATTGGAATTAATTGAGAAAAACATTTTTTTTACATGTGATCAGCGATACTTGATAAAATATAATCCAAAATTGCCTGTAATAAGCCTTTCTGTTTATTGGAACAGCCAATTAGATTTGATTTGCAAACGATCATCTGAAAGTGATACTTTACTTAAAACTTGTTGCTGTTTAAAATATGGAACTGATGGGAGGTCTTGTGCTGGCTACATCAGATTTTTCTGTCTGTTTTTATGTATTCCTTCTGCTAAGTATGGGATCCAATAAGTATTACTCATAGTATGTATGTTGGAACTCTGAATTAATAATCCCATTTATGATATCACATTATATTCACAGGAGTCTAATAAGTTAGCCTTTAATGAGGAAAGGTGATATATAAGATTTTCTGCATATTCCCCCCCCCATATTAGAGTATTTATACAAAGTAGGGACTAAAAGCCTGCTTCTGCAACATTATCATAATAGCAGTATATTGTGAATACAGCAGTGTATTTGCTAAAGCAAAATACACTTATGCTTAAAAAAATCTGCAGTGTTTCTAGTTGTGAATTTAGCGTTTCATAATTTGGAAAGAAAGAAGCTTAGCAAAAGTGTTTAAAAATTAAGAAATTTTTTATAAGCAGATAAAAATGTGCAACTTGCATATAATATATAGATATAAAATTTTAAAAAATTACACTAAATAAAAAAAAGGGTCAAACAAATAATGATTATGCTGATTTTTCATATAATAATAAAGTTAAATTATTAATGTGATAACCAGCATGTTTCATTTGTTTAATTTTCTCATAGTCTTTAGAAATATTGCTTAAATGCAAACACTGAATATTTATATTCTCCTTTTACCAGGTACAGCGATATGAAGGTGCTTCAACAATTTATGGACAGCACACACTGCGAGCATATATCCAAGAGTATGAGAAACTAGCTGAATCTTTGTGCACTGGTGAAAGCCTACCTGATGGACCAGCTCCAAAGAGTATGTTAGGTGAAGAGATATCACTTCAGCCTGGTGTTATATTTGACACAGCTTACTTTGGAAAAAATTTTGGTGATGTTCTGAAGGATGCTAAGGAGAGATATTGCCCAGGTGACACAGTGTTTGTTACATTTGTCAGTGGACATCCAAGAAATGATCCTATGGTAAGTTGAATCATTTTTATGCATTAGGTAAAATATACTCTAACATACACAAAGATATTGTTGCATTGTGGAGCTATTCACATAACCATCTTCATGGCCATTGAAAAGATCGAGTGGATTTTATTGGTGAAAGGACAATAAGAGGGTTTTCAATAGTAAATGGGTAGTTAGAAATGCTTAGACAATTTGGCTGCCTAAATCCAGGGTTTTAAAAGTGTTTGAACTTCATTATTCTGGGCATCCTGTAAAAGGGAGTACTGTAAATGTTTGTGGTGTTGCTAATATTAAAATATATCAGTTTTTCCTCACAATTTGTTTTGGTTTAATATACACATAATATGAGGATTTGGGGATTTGAAATTCCTCATGTCACAAGGGAGTTGAGGTGGGGCAGACTGAAAGTGAATGTTTGTTGTGGAATGTTGCATGACAAGATTTTAAGACCATTTTTCTTCCATGAACTAGCTGCTAAACAATAACAGCTGGAGTTTACTTTAATACATTGATTAATTACATTTGCTCAGTTCCATTCCCAAACAACAAGTTATTAATGTTGTTCTGGGGACCATATTCACCCTGCATTTATGGAAAAAATATTTAAGCATTCTTTTGTTTAGATTATGCAAAACTTTACTGTCACGCAAATTAAAAAAAGCATTTAGGTCTGTACACTCATTTTGGCTCAGACTGTATGTAGTTTTGCTTTTTTACTAGAAAGGAACATGCAAGTTAGAAACTATCAGTTTAAAATTCTAAAGACATGATCAAAACTCTCATAGTTGTAGCAGTATCCAGCACTTAGAAGCAAAAGTATAAACCACTGAGCATGGTACAACAGGAATTTGTGCATGTTTTGTTAGATTTCTTATTACAAATGCTTTGAGAAGTTTATTAGTTATTACTGTTCTTTTTCATATTGTGCAGAAAGTTTTAATTATTAATTTGATACAACTTCAGGTGCAATAAGGACTTAAAACAGTGCTTACAAATCACACTCAAAGGACATGTCATATAGGATTTCTAAAAAATCCCTTAACAACTTTAGCTTGTTGTTTCAGAATGGATTTTTAGTACAAAGGGGCTTTGTTCCTGAGGGACTATTGCTTTTGTTTTGGCATTTTGCGTTGAAATCTTTAAAAGGCTGTATCACTTTTCAAACTGTTGCCACCAAATATTATCACCCTGTATTATATTTGAAGAAATTAAATAATGAAGAATCTGCATAAATGTATGTATGTTTCTCGCACTGTGATAAAAATAACGGTACCTAGAGCCATCCAATTTTGACTGACGAAATCCTAATGCGAATATGGGCATCTGAAAGCCCAAATTTGAAATTTGTTTTATTATCGATTTCATATTGTGTAAAACTTTAACGAATTTCTTATTAACAAACTCGAGGATTTCAAAGCGAGGAATGGCAACGTTGTACAGAAAAAATATTTTTATCTCCAGCGCCTGAGACTGTGTATCAGAAATTCTAAAGGTATATCCAATTTAAAATAATTTTGCGATATTGCTCTTGAACTGAATTTTATGGTTTAAGTACGAAGAAAATGATATTTAATAAATAAAGGTAACACACAAAATGTTAAAAAAAGCTCCTTTGGACGTAATTTAAAATATGAAACCTTCAATTTTATTTATTATTAAAAAAATTATGGCAGACATTATCCATTTTTAGGCTTTCACCACTGCTAAGGCCAGAAGTGATGGCCATTTTATTATTGAGGCACCTGATAGGCGGCCTGCTATGAGAGGACGGGCAATTTTCATGCATGCTTTCTCCAGGATTTGAAAAAGGGTCCTAAATTCTTATCATGCATCATCCAACACCAAACATTCACTTTCAGTGTATCCTGTTTCAGCTCTCCTGTGACATATGGATTTTGGGTCCTTTAAATTCTCACAATATGTGTAAATTAAACCAAACAAATTGTTAGGGAAAAAACTTTGATATATGTGGGGGGGGGCAACCACAAATATTTACAGCACCATCTCTTACAAGGTGCCCACAATAATAAGATAAAGTTGTTTAGGGTTTTGTGGACATTATTGTCACCAGGGGATATTGAACAGATCTAAATGTAGCACTGAATTTCAGCATGCATTCACTTACAAGAAATACAATTCTAAATATCTGTACTTTCAATAATAATATTCTAAATACATAAATAACCCATACTATAACAACTACTTACTTTGTGGTATGTTAATGTGATTTTACCAAATGACTCATTCTTCCCAGATTCTGACCATATCAAATATTGCCTGATTATACTTTTCACCTTATATCCGGATTTATCTGTACAAAATGAGGACCTCTATTGGTCTATAAACTATTGACCAATAGAGGTCCCAAACTCTATTGGTCCCTTTCACACGATACTTGCCCAGCTGAAGCACTCTGCCATCTAATGTAATTTGAAAGATATGTAAAACACAATATTTTAGACAGTTGCTTCATGGGAGTCCACGGATATGTCCCATCTTGAAGATAACTTACATTTCATTGCTCTTATATAAGAGTTGCGCTAAGCATTTTAAATACGGAATCGATGCTAAAAAAAAAAACTTACCAAAATCCATGAAAACCAGAAAAGCTCATTTTGGTCATCATGCCTCATCAGAGACATGTTTGGATCGAAATTTAACTGATCATGCAAACGATACTGAATGCCAGAATATATTTCATTATTATTTTGAAAATTTAATTTTCAGTATTTTCTTTTTTAATTAAAACCTGTCAACCATCTTTTGGCTGTTTTAAGTTTTTTTTATACATAATCTGTTTTTTAAATTTAGTTGTGTACCAAATAAAAAATACGTGAACAATTTTTATTTAAATTCCATAGCATGAGAATTTAATATTACCAGCATTTAAATTTGTACCATTATTCTTGATGTTTTAAATTATATTAATCATAAAATAGAATTGAGTTGCAATGGTATAATCTGTCACAATATACAAGGGTTTGTGTGAAAATCTTGACTGAACTTTCATCCAGTGCAATGCAATCACTGTTCAATATAGTGTTGATTTTATTTAGTGGACAAATGGCACTATTTCTTATGGTTTTAATAATTTGATATAGTGCCATTAGTCTGTATTGAATCATCATAACATAAGTCTGCTGTACTTTTTTTAAACAATTTTAAACCTAATGCCAAATTGTTTAGAATTTTTTATAAAATTTGCATCACTATTAATCTATATAAACTTGATTTTGTGCACCTTGGCCATTTCCGCTATCTTATAAAGAATTCAGTCATATTTCTCTAATTTTCTTTGATATGCAGTTAGAACATGAAATGTATGAATAAACTCTTAAAATAATAAATGATGGTACCTTTTTTCAGCTGGAAAGAACATTTTTAACAATTGAAAAAATGAATCCTTTAACTGGAAACTGGACAGTAATAGCTACTGATGCTGACTGGGAAACTAAGTAAGATTATTTTTGTAAAATATTGATTATTTTGCTTTTAAATAATTTTTTAAAATATTTTCAGAAACGATATTTTACATAGTCGGAAAAAAAAAAAAAAAAAAAAAAAAAAGGCAGAAAATGTGCTATAAATTCTTAGTCTGTTTTCAGGAAAGACTGAATTATAGTTGAAAATTTAAATACGCGTTTGCAATATAGATTAATCAATACGGTTTAGGAAATCAATTTATATCTATATATATATATTATAAATTTATTTCCTAAACTTGTTAATGATTATATTTCCTAAGTTTAATTTAAAGCAGAATCTTTTAAAGAGTGAATTATATAGTAATTTTTTGAAAGATTTTTGAATTCACATGAAAGTAAAATGTTAAATCATCATGAAGAACAAATTTCATGTAAAGGAAAATTAATTAATGCCTTATCATTGTCTTGATCAGATTAGTTGACTTTTCAGGAACAACCAACTCGCGTTCAATGAACAATATCAAAAATAAATACGTAATATGAGGTGTTTCGTCTTTACTCGAGTAATAAGGTCCAGCCAACCTATCAGGCAATATTTCCGCGAATAGAAGGATTATGAACCAATGCTGATTCATATTCGTATTTTATTAATTATGTTCATGAACGGAGTGGTTTGTTCCCTTGAAAGTCAACAATTCCGATCATACAATGATTACATGCATTTAATTCATTTTTCCTTTACAATGAAATTTTGTCTCATGATATTTAATATTTTACTTAAAGTTACTTCAACTCTTTCAAAATATAACTACTAGTATGGATTCCCTTTAAAATTTTCTACTTTAATTAACTTAGAGATAATATAATTAATTAATCAATATTGTTTAGAATAAATTATTAAAATTTACTTTGCAGCAATTGCACAAGTGTATAATTTGTTTTCGCACAATGCATTTAGATCTATATATATATATATATGTGTGTGTGTGTGTGTGTGTATGTATATATTATTATTATTATTATACATATATATTTCACCCAGAAAGATTTGAGCCTACAAAACTTGGCAGTAGTTTAGTGTTTGAATAGATAAACAAATGATCAAAAACTTGGATTTTATTTACTAGTAGCAATACAAAATATTTGAAAATCTTTAGGCAGTAAAGCCACCCCTGGCAGCTATACAAGCCGATACTCGGTTGGGTAGATGGTCTGTTGTTGCCTCAGCAGTAGATTATGTCCCAGATTGAGCAACTTGTCAGTGAGTTGGGATGTGTTTGTACATGGCTGAATTTGCCTTCTCACCCGGCAGGCAAGTTGAGGACATTAACAAATCGAAGACGATATTAAGAAAGTTTTGCTGTATGGTGGCCGAGCATTGTCCGCTGGAAAATAAAACTTGTACGACTTCTAGCATCTGTATCATCAGCTGCAATATGTCAGTTAACTGGAAGTGATGCTTTACTTAACCCTTTCAAGGGCACTGGTATATTAAATATAGCGGAAATTTGTCAATTTTTTTAACCCCCCTAAAAATACTATTATTTTACACCAAAAGCTTTCTAGTGTTTTTTTAACACTAAATGGCAGAACTATCCTATCGATGCTCAGTATTTTGCAGCTATTAAATTAATATATCTCGTTCAAAGGTCTCATGTTTTGAATTTCATAAATTGTGCTGAAGGGGAAAAAATTCAAAACCTACAAATATATGGTGTGAACAGGCTGAACCTTATATACCTACTGCATTTTGAACAAAACTGATGATTAAAAGTATATTATTTAGCAATTCTTAAGACTGGTATATAAATTATATTAGTGACCATGTAAGGATTCCTTTTATTTGCCATTTTTGGCCACTGAGCCTACGTTTATTTATATTTCAGTTTATGAAAAGTGACTCTCCAGTGCAAAGTATCCGGTAGTAGTAAGATCTTTGAGGTGTGTCAGAACTTTAGTAAAGTTTCTTCCTAAACAAAATTATATATTACAGTAAAAATCCAGAAATCCGCAAAGCTTGGGACCAGAGGTTGTGTGGATTTCAGGACAGAGAAGATAAATCGTAATATTCAGACTAAAAGTACAAAATAAATAATGCGTATTAGATACATTTAATTAAACTATTATATGCATTATTGCAGTAACTTATTATATGTATTAAATTATTATTACGTATATAAATTGATTATATTATTCATTGTATTATATGTACACAGCATCCAGGTTTGCCGATTTTGCCTCGTGCAAAGATTTCCGGTTTCGAATTCTGCTGTTAGAATCACTGTTGCTGTAAAATTTCAACAGCTTTTCTTTATTTTTCCGTATATCATACCAGTCTGTCACAATTCCATATGATTTTGCTAAAACCGAGGAGTAGCCCACCTCCATTCTTTTTGCAGATTTGCACTTTTGCATTACCATCAATGCAACGTTTTTTACGTTTTTCAACGTTGCAAAGCATAAAATGAGTGCATTTCTTATCTATCATTGTATTAAAGGGCTAAATTTAAAATATTCTTAATTTATCACAAAACATTCAAGATAAAATAGACGCACTAAATAATCTCGTAAAACAAGCTCAGAAAATACAACTGCGTGAATCGTGAACTTGAAAGAAGAATTGAGTGAATCGTCTGCCTTTTTACCTCGATGCAGAGAATGGAGAGGAAAAAACTTTTACCATGATGTCAATAATTTGGTATTTCCGTTATGACCCATTATTATTCAGTAAGTATTTTTTCTTCGATATTTCGTACTCAATGTTGCGGTTTCTGGAACCTATAAACTGAATATTTATATTTTGAGAGGCAACGCAGATTTCAGGTGGGCGGATTTTCGGTATTTGACTGTACTACCTTATTTATGGAAAAATTTAAAAGGAGCCCCTAAGGGGATGAAAATAGAAAAACAGGCTTTGAAATGTATCAGATATACTTTTAACATATTTTCTTCCTGAACAAAATGATAAATTCTATATTTACAAACAATTAAAAAGAGGCCCTTATGGAGCCCGATAACTGAAAGCATGCATGAGTTCTGAGGACTTGGGATCATAGCATGAGGAATGTTCTTTTTATAGGTTATCTAAAGTATACAATATAACTTTATAAATTGTAGCTGAGTTACATTTCCTTATAACATTATGCCATTTGCAGTTACAGCATGATATAGTTTACATATGCAGAGCTATACTTTTTAAATTTTTATATATAATAATACTGAATGTAAATAATTTTCAAAAACTTTTTTAACATATTTTACATCAACTGAGAGGCATGGTCAAAGTGCCTAAAAATGAAAATTTAACTATTAAAATTTTTAATTTCTATGAAAATTTTAGAAATTTTTAACTCTAAATGTAGGTAATTATATTCAGGTACATTTTCATAGATACACATTAGAAGTACACAAAAATAGATTTAAAAAATAAAAAATTTAACAATTGGCTACAACGTGAAAAAAATGTCTTACAGGATCAATGGTATAAAATGGATAGCAATATTCAAAATTTGGGATTTCACTTTTAGATTTCCTTTAAGCCTCATTTTTATGTTTTTTGGGTTCATAAGTTACAATTCTTGCAAACTTTTAACACAGTTCTTTTATATACCCTTGAAAGGCCTAAAACATGGAGCAGGAAACCATGGGCAAGCCAGGCTTTTTTAAAGTCTATCAAAAGGTTCTGTTCGAAAATGTCATTTCAAGTTTCAATGTGTATTCACATGTTCATTTGAGACATATATGTTTGTCTCTCTTTATCGTTGCATTTATATACATATGCTCTTTTAAATTATATGAATTAGAAATGTCTCATGTCATTATTAAGTAAGATGCGACTACATAAACATGGCTACCGATAAAGTTCATTTACGACACTGTATATTATGTCCATTTGTGTGTATGTTGCAAATTCCAACAAGGAAGAAATGCTACAGAAGTGTGCTAAAATTAGTGACAGTTTTCAGTGGAGATGCAGTTTCAGATAGAAGGTGCAGGAGATAATTCAAAAGATATAAAGCAGGTGATTTCAACCTTAATGATAATTCACCCTCTGGGCGGCCATTTTTGATCGATGATGATATTGTCAAGACCATGACAGCAAGATCTTCAATTTGACAATATCAGATATTGAGGAAAAGCTTAAGAAACCATTTTAGACCATATTTGGAAACTAGGATCAGTTTATAAACATTCAGATGGTTACCTCATGACTTAAGTAAGGAAAATTTACGTGATCGAGTCGTATGAAAACCTGTTTACTTGAAACAAAAACAAACCCTTCTTATACTGGTTGATGTTTGTAATGAAAAGTGGATTACCTATAAAAACACTGTTACGAAAAGAGCACATTGCGAGCTAGGAGAATTTCTAAACCGAGCTTGAACACTGAATAAGAGAATGCTCCATATATGGTGGGATGAACCAATATATTGTGAGCTTTTGAAAACTAACAAAAATCTCAATTTGGACAGATTCTATATTCAAATGAATTGATTTAAATACAGCATTTGAAGAAAAGAGGCTGACGGTGTTTAATAAGAAGCACATCATATTTACATTATGATAATGCCAAATAACATGCTGCTTTTGCAACTTTTTTTTGTCAGAAAATGCCGAGCAAGGTTGGAAAATTCTGCTCCATCCACCCTACTCCCCAGACCTAGTACCCTCTGACTAAGCACTTGTTTCGCTCCTTGCAAAATTTTTTGAGGCGGAAAAAAAAATTCAAACTAAAGCAGATGTTAGCCAAGCATTACTTGAGTTATTCGCATTTTTTAACCGCTTGACATACAAATAAAATATACGTCGATGCGTCTTAAGAATACCATTTAATTTGGGCTCAACTGTGGACACTCATATGCAAGCTTAAAAACAATGTTTTATTTTCAAATTTACACTGCTATATAAAAATAATAATCTACTGTGTGGCATTCGGTGAAGACAGTTCTTGACATTTCAGAGACTTCAAAGTCTACAGTGGCATATGAAATGAATGACGTCTCTCGGATGTTATTGTATGTCAAGGGGTTACAAATGGTATTTGCAATATATTCATGCTGGAAAAAGGTGATAAGTAATGATGGTAATTGTATTGCACAATAAATTATTATTAAAGGTATGAAAAATGTATTATTTTCTTTTACTTCTCAAATGGAGAGGATTTTCTGGTAGACCTTGTAATTAATTTGTGGAACATTTTAAAGTAATTTAATAGGAAAATTTTCCCATTTCCTAGGAATAAAAGAAAACTGATTCTGTTTCTCTTGGATATATAATAAAAAATTTCTCCTTTTAGGTTCCAAGTACTTCCTGGAAGAATGCAGATTGCATTATATACTATAGCAACATGATATTAATAAAATTGCATGTGCCTATTTTCATCTGTTACTAGAGTTGTATTTATGAAATCTTAAAAAATGGTCTACAGACTAATTGCAAAATAACTGCTTGCATTTATGGTATTATTTAATAATTTAATTATATATATATATACGTAATGTTTTAAATATTCATTTTTAGGTTTCACTGGGTCAGAACGAATATATTGCTTGGACACAGTGAAGCAATAATGAGTTGGGACATTCCTGAAGATACAGAACCAGGAAAATATAGAATACGACATTTTGGACATAGTAAAAGTATTTTTCAAAAGATAACTCCATATAAAGGAACTTCTAGTCCATTTATAATAAAAAAGTATGACAATAAAATATTTTAAAAAATTTTATTATATTTAAAAAAAATAGTTTTTGGCAAACTTTAAAAACACACCAAACATCTTTTGAAAAGATTAGTTTAAAAAAATTCAGAATAAAGTTTGCAATTTATATAAATTCAGAAAACTACAGAAAGCAATTTTTGATTCCATATAGTTTAAAATTTAAAAAATATAAGAGGATAATTAACATAAAATTAAGAAGTACAAAAACCAAATGAAAGAAAAACAAGCCCATGTAAAGTTTTAAATTATGCAATAAAATGACCATAATTTGCATAGATTTTGAATAGAACTCTTGTGGATTTCAAAGACACATATCATTTTTCCATAAGAGTGAAAGATAGGAAGAATGATAACCCTTTATCTTAAAAGCAATGGACAGGGCAGAACAAATATTAATGTCTGCTGAGGAAAACAGTAATGAAACATGACAAGCTAACATATCAGAATTCTAAAAGTGTTTGGAAGGACTGGATAAGAATTAATATCATTAACTTAAAAAAGGGGGGGGGAAATTGCAAATGTGAGAAGTTTCAAGGAAATCTACACCACCAAACTAAGAAGCTTTATGGATAATTTTTGAAAAACCAAAGTTATGATCAAGTGTACAACTTTAATTAGCTATCAAAGATTTGTTTATTTCTTCTTTTCAAACATAAAATCTGTGTTCCTTGATGTAAAGTTTTAACACTCTTTTAGTATGGTAGATGTATAACAAAGCACACTGCAAAGATATACTATAGGATTTTCTTAAGAATAAAAATTAAAGATTGGATTTTTAAGAATCAAATAACAAATTTTACTGATAGGTGAAAAAAAAAATTGCTCAACTGATGAACTTGTGAAGATTCCAAATGATTTTGTAATCAACAGAAGGATGAAATGGAATTAACAGCAAAATTATTATGGCTATTTCTAGTAGCAAAATGTCTTTTTTGATAGCACGATGAAAATCGTTTAAAAGACTTGAGAGCTAGGAGAAAATTCTCAATTAATAATCATGAAATTAGATTCTGAAGAATAAATATTGAGAGCACAATTAAGATTAGAAAGAAGCTATTTTTTAAATTTTTCGTTTAGTAGTACATAATTTTGCATGGGAAGGCAAAAAGGCAGAAAATGTTTTAAATGGTAGTAGCACTGAAATCAGATAATTAAAAAGCCATGGCAGATACTGTATTTGACGGCATATAAGACTCACCGTTATTTAGAACTTTATTACATACAAGGAAAAAAAGTTTCAATAGTTCACAATAATTTAAAATGTGGTTTCTTTTAGTTCTCACATTTCATAAAAGCCAAATAAACAATCATTGAATGCAATTACCAAACATATTTTTATTAAGGAAAATTAACAAATGGTGGGCTATTTTGAACATGATATGTAAATTTGAATAATGAATAAATGAATGAACGGCAAGCAATAAAAAATAATAAAAAATAAAGCAGAAGAAACAACAAAAACACAGATTCAAGGAAACGTTGCTATCATGAATTAGATTAATCACTTTCAAAACCATAAAAATCCTTTTCACTATCCTCATCATCGAAAAACGAGAATATCGTCATGACTAGTGTTTCCGTCATCGCTAGTATCCCTTCTTCGAATAATGTGTCGTCTCTGTTCCGTCAAGATCATTACTGATACCGCACTTCTTGAAGGGATTAAAATTATTCAGCCTTTCGTCCTCAAAGATCTTTTTTACTCACTTGCAACTTGTGAAATAGAGGGCTGCTTCATTCCTACCTGAGGGGTGATGGCATGATGTGGCTCTCCTATCCACTTGTTCCATCGTTCTCACACTTTACCTTAAATGGCTTATTCACCGATAAATCTAAGGCTGCACTGGCTAGTCAGTCCACCAGGAGACAGACAGCTAGGTAGTTTTTTAATCCTCTCGCTTTTTCTTTATGGTTTCAGTTCTACGGGCGCTAAACTGATCCAAAACCAAAAGAGAGGGTTTTCTTAAGAGTCCACCATATGTTCTGTAACCACAGTTTCATTTCAGCTTCGTCCATCCAGCCTTTTGGAAGAACATAAACAATTACACCTGTTGGAAGTTTTTCTTTCGGATGAGTTTTTCTTATGAATATGAAAAATGGCAGTAGTTTTGTGTCACCAGCATAACATGTTAGAACTACCGTATATAGGATTTTTTCATGACCTGTGGTTTTTATAGTTATTGATTTAGAACCTTTAATACTCAGTCTTGGATGGTACATCAAATGTGAGTGGAATTTCATCCATATTTCCTATTTGACCAAGCTCAAAAGAAGTTTTCTTCATTCATTTATAACAAACCTATGAAATACTAGTATTTTTTCTTCATAATCGGCTGGCATTCTATGCAATAGTTGTTTTTGTGCGCATTGATAAGCCTTGCCTTTTTCATGAACTGTAGCACCAGTCCCCAGACCCCTGAAAGTTCTGATTCCCATGCTTTTATGCAATCCTTGGGCCTCATTGATTATCATCTTTAGCTGAAACACTATCCCAAATTTCCTCTTACTATCACCCCATTTTTACGCATTTTCAAGTTAAGCCAAGATGGAGCTGCATCGAAGATTATTTTTTTTTGTTTCTTACAGTCTTCAGTTAATCTTCCTGCAGTCGCAAATGTATAATTTTTCAGTAGGTGGTGGACCGAAATCTGTTTAATCTTTGTTCCTGTAATCATATTTTCCAGGGGTATTTTTAGAACAAATAGTTTAAGCCCCCCACCGATACCGACACATTATACAGAGTAGCACCGATACCGACCGTGTGCGCTGAGTCAAAGAAGTCTATGTAAAGAAGAAAAGGCTCATAGAGTGATGTGACCGTTGAACTGTTCGAACTTCGACATCAGCTTCAAGCTTTGGTGCTTTTTGGCAACACATATTTTACGCATGCGCAAAATAATTATGGCAGATGTAGAAAAAGTTATGTGTGCCTAGACCTTTATCCGGGCTAAAAATAGCATTTTGAAAGTTACCTGTGTCCTTCATGTATAAGACGCAGGTAACTTTTTGAGACCAAATTTAGGGAAAAAAAGTGTGTCTTATATGCCATCAAATACGGTAATTAAAGTATCAAAAAAAGGAAGTGAACTATCATATTCAATTACAAAAGTGAACTGGATAGCTGAATCCAACAGATTAAAATCTTGGCTAAATCCTTTTTATAACAATCAAAAAGCCTGAAAGTGTTATCAAATCCTGAGCCACAAAGAAGGTTTTAAAAAAATAATTTGAGCTCAAAATAGTGCATATAAATACACTATTTTGAAGAACTCAAACTTAAATGATACATTAATTTTTTAATTCAAAATCTATACTAAACTAAGGTTGCTTTTGCATAATTTTTAATAGGTATAAAATTTCTTGTGACTTTTATGAAACATTCAGTAAATAATATTACATTATCTATATCCCTTAGCACTGTTAAAATTAATTTTCTGTTTTCTAATTTTTCATAAAAATTTTGTTTTATCAGGTGCACTGTGAATTGTAGATATTAGACTATTTTATACAGACATTTTTATTTAGGAAATGAAGTTTTGCAAGAAAAGTGTCCAAAATAAACAAGAAAAGGATCATACTTCTTGGAAACCATTTCTGCAAATTAATTTTAAAGCATCCTTATCTTCAAATTGATTAGTGATGACCAGACTTTTCAATATCATAAAATATTTTACAGTATGTCTTATCATGGAAAAAAATAGTCAGGATGTGACCAAAAATTAAATTTAAAACTGCTTAGCATTTATGAAGAGCCAAGTAAATTTCAGAAGTTATTGCTTTAAGAGTACTACCATTAATGATGGTAGAGAAAAATGTTTGTTAAATGTAAATCTTTGAGCATAGAGTGAAAAAACATACAGATCAATGTAGCATATGTAATACATGATTCTGCTAAATTCAGGAAATCGCTGGGGTTACCACTGATACCAATACCAGTGCATAAAAGTATGAAATTAATGTGATTTTAGAACTTCCCATTTGACAATGAATTTATTGCAAGTTCATCATATTTAGATATTGATTCATTTGTTGTAATTCTACTTTGTGCTGTGTTACTCAGAAGCAACCTAATTTTTTCAAATGCTACAAAATTTAAAATATTCCATTTTTCATCAAATATGATGTTTGATAAGCTGATCTATCTTGATTTTATTCATCCATTTGCAGATATGGTCTTTGTGTGATGTCAAGAACTTTCAGTGTAGCTAAGTACACTTCTGTAGGTTGATTTTTCTGATGTACAAGCTTTTGATAGGTACCAGTAATTTCTTACCAGTTCTAACAAGTCTGAATTGTGATTTTGTCCCATTTAAAAGTCAGCAGCAGAACTATTGACTTATTAAATATACTGCCATATTAATAACATTTGAGCATCAGTTAACAAAAAGATGGGACATCCTATCTTGGATTAGTGTGATAATATATCTTTTGGAAGCAAATTTGATGACTGCACTAAATTTAAGAGAATACACTAAATTTGAGCACCTTAGAAATGGTAAAATTTGCATATGCTTTTCAAGGCAATTGGTGATGAGGCAATTAGTGTATCTAATAATGATATAGTCTCTTGTGTTTGCAATAGTGTTGCAATGCACCAAGGAAAATGTAAATTAATGTAACTAGTGATCATAATTTCTAATGCCTGATATAGTGCAAATTATCAACTCAGCCTGAGTTTTATTTAAGAGTTTGAAAATTTTTCTAATGATAATATCATTCCTTCATGTGTACTGACTGAACTTTAATCTACTACAATCGTGTGCAGAACTGATCTCAGTAACAGCATAATAATGAGCTGTTTTGTGATACATTCTAAGGAGCACTTATGTGTCTCATTTTTTGTGTTCTTAATTTCATGTGATGCCTTATGTGTGCAGCATTTTGTAAAATATATATAGACTACTTTTTTTATTATATTGTATGTTTATACAGTTGGGACAATAATTAATTTTTATTGTAATTTTCCATTAAGCAATTTAGAATTCTGTCATAATCCTTCATTTTTTGTGATTACATTTTACATAAACAAAATCTGCTCTGCAGAAATCAACATGCTGATGCAAATCCTACAAAATTTGTGATTATTTGAAATTCAGAAATGACATTCCATCCCCCAAACATTTTTTAACACCCACAAAACACTTTGAAATTTTTGCGAAACTATTTTCAAAACAAAACTTTGTCATATTCAGAATCTTTTTTTTTTTTTTTTTTTTTTTTTTTTTTTTTTTTTTTTTATTGGATTCATTAAAACTCTTTAAAGGTAATCACAGTTAATGACATTGTGCAATGAATGAAATTGTCTGCAAGCCTAGGGCAAAAATAATACTGTTATTTTAAATATGTAAAATGTTTTTACTTTTTGTATACAGAGTTTGAATTTTCACAATGAGGGGTTTAATTCATTTTATGTTTGTTCTAGAAGTTATGCACCAAGCTGCGCTTGAACTTTTCCTTGGCATAAATTTTATTTAAAATCGATTTGGGCCTGACTAAACATAAATTTCATAACTGAAATCTTCTCTTTCAAACTTCAGTTAGCTTCACAAATGAATACAAAAATCAAAGATTCAATATGTAAAGATAGTTGAATTGCAATTTGAAATTTATGAATATTATACTGATTCTAGTCCCAAGCAAGTCTTTGAGTCAAATTGCAAAGTCATTTCTACCAAGCTCGAATTGTAATGCCATAAGTATGTCTGGAATCAACTAGCTCCTTAAATATATCATAATTATGAAGTCCATTAATCATGTGGCATTTGAAAAAATTTTGACCTTAACAATCATGCAATTTATCATAACTTTATATTTTTGGAGAAACTGTTATATAGCTTGGCTATATCAATTAGCATACAAACTGAATCTTTGATTTTTTTTCATTCGTTTGTTTTCAAGGTAACTGAGATTTGTATTAAAAGGAAAGATTTTAATTATCAAATAAGTGAAATGATTTTTAAAAAAATTATTCTGTTAGGCCAAAATCAATTGTAAATAAAATTATTGAATATTGAACAGGAAATTTAGCAAAGAAACAATGCAAGCCAAAACTCCAGCAACAAACATGTAAGGTACATTAAAACATTTGAACTTCTTCTAAAAATTAATTCAATAAATACAACAAATGATAAACCATTTTGAAAACACTTCCATAAAAAAACATTTTACATATTTAAAAGTTATAACAAATTACCTTTTTCCTATGCTTATACACAGCTGTACAATGGTCATTAATTATAATGATCTTTTAGAGATCTTTTTTAAAAGGTTACTTGCAGACATATATCTACTCATGAATTAACTAATCAATGTTTTAAATATATAATTTTTTGACATCTTTTACAAATTTAGACAAGATAACTGTTTTGAGTTAAAATAACATGTTGAATAATGATTATCAGAAGAGTTTAAAACCACAAGAATCAGAGTAATATTCATAAATTTGCAGGACTAGTTTAAAAGGTTTAGAACTAGCTTTTTCAGCTCCAGATATGCAAATGATAAAAGAGGAGCCAGTGATAAAGAATGGAAGGAAGTCAACCTACTCGTGCCATCTACTGATGAATAATAAAAACTAAAACAATTTTCTTTAAAACTTAAGATAAAGATGGATTGGAATTGGGGTCATTAACCAGAATTTAAAGACTTTTATGAATGTGAAACGCCTCTCAAAACTCTTAACTCACCAACAGAAGATGTTTGCTGAATAATTTTGATTGCAGGAAAAAGGAAGATGCGATTTTCTGACCGATAATGTTGAGTAAATGGAGGATTTCTTTCTTTTTTCTAATGTATGCTTCATGTTCCTTAGCGTGAAATTTTAAGGCTGTCTTAATTTGACCAATATAAATTAAACCACACTAGCAAGGAATCCTATATGTGCTGCAGGAGTTCATATTCAAAATGGGGTTGTTAAGTATGGAAATGGGAATTTTATTGACAGAAAACGACCCAGAATTTCAATTTCCTTAAAATATATGCATTTTATAGCTCAGTGATGGAAAGAAAGGATTGTCAACAGAATTCTTGTAATCCCCTAAAATGAGAAGGTGCTTTTTGATGTGTTGAGAAATTTATGAATGAACATGTGAACTTTTTGTTATTTAACAATTTATGAATATTATACTGATTCTAGTTGCTTTAGCTTCTCCAATAAGCTTTAATTTAGTTCACTCTTTGTGTTTCACTATGGATGGAATTTTGTCATCAATATTTAATCTACTTTTTGATAAACTATAGAATTCAAATTCTGTACACACACTGTTTGTACATAAACCCAGATTTTATATGAATGACAAACAAAATTCTTGTAATCTTCTAAAACAATAGGATGCTTTTTGATGTGTTGCTTTTTGATTTTTTAAGTGCTTTGTCAATGTTAAATGAAAAGCCTGTGTCAGTAGCAACTCCTTTTAAATAATTTAATTCTAGATCAAGTGCCAATTCAGAGGAGCAAACTTAAAGTTTTCAGAAAACAAAGGAATAAAATGAAGCTAATTTCTATTTAATCGAATGACATGATTTGAAGTGTGGTGGAAGGTTAAGAGATGGTTTATGGTAAACAGTAATACTGAAGTTGGATGTGTTGCATGTGACCAAGTTATTGAGGAGCGGAAGAGAATTTGATGTTAAAAGTTTAAAAGTGAACTGAATAGTTGGTCAATGAAATTCGTTATTTAAACAACTTTATTTAAATCATCTTTATTATCATCAAGCAGGAAAGAGGTATTTGTCAACGTAAAGGATCCACACAGGGAAGTTTAAAATTTCAAATGATTTTGATTTATAATGATGCATATAGACATCAGCAAGAATAGGACTAAGAGGGTTTCCCTTGGCTAATCATTCAGTTTTGTTGTAATACTTATTTTGGAGAACAAATTGTACTTGTTTCAGACGGAGGTGAATAAGGGAACTTAACTCGTCAATTTCAATACAGGAGAAATTCTCGAAGTCATGATGCACTTAAATATCTAAAAATGGAATTTATATAATTTTCTAAAACAGATCATAAGAATTCTTTTGTCATTCCTTTCTTTCAATTGATTAGCTGTAAAATTGCATGTATTTAACAGAAATTCAGTTTGGGGGTCATTTTCTCATTTGTCGATAAAATTTGCAATTTCATAGATATGGAACTTATTTTAGATATGAACTCCTGGAGTACATATGGGATTTCTTAAGGCATATGTTAGGGAAAAAAGAAATGTATAAATCCTCTACTGCCCAATACTATTGGTCAGAAAATTATATTTTTCTGCAACTAAAATTATTAAAAAAACATATTCGGTTGGCAAGTTGATTTTCTAGAGGCATTTCACATTCATAAAAATCTTTCAGGTCTAGTTAATGATCCTAATTACAATCTGTCTTCCCCCTCAGCTTTGAAAAAAATTTGATAGTTGTTTTCAAATTTCCTGAATAGATGGTGCTAATAGCTTGACTTCCATCCTCTCATTCTTACTGAATTAAAAAACCAATGGCTTCTCTTTCTCATTTACACTTCTGCAGCTGAAGAAGGTGCTATGTTTAAACCTTTAAAACTAGCCGTGTGAATTTATAAATATTTTTCGGATTCTTGTTGTTTTAACTCCTCCAATAAAAATAACTGTAACAGAATTTATATATATAGTATCAAAATTATTTTATTTTAAAACAAAATTATCCCAATCTTATTTCCACGCAATATGCTGCAGAAAATTTAACAGTTATAGTCAAAAAGTAAGAACTTAAGAACCAAATTCACACAGACCCCAAAAGAAATTAAATTCAAAACCAGCAAATTTTTAAATTCCCAAAAAATATTTCATTAAATCAAAGGTTAAGAAGATTTAAGGAAATGTGAAAAACAAACCACAAAAACACAGGAAGAGGAATTCAACCTCTTCCCAATGGAAAATCACTGCATTTCTGTTCATCCAAAATTAGCTGATAAACCATTTCAAATTATTCATTTATAACAGTTCACCCGAAAATTTAATTGAATTCCTCTTCCTATGTTTTTGTATTTTTTGTTATTTGTTTTTCACATTTCTTCACATTCTTCTGAATTTTGGTTAATCAATTTAAATGTTTTTTTGAGAATTTTAAAATTTCTCGGTTTTTAATTTTTCTTTTGGGTCTTTGTGGATTTGGTTCTAAATTTCTCATTTTTTGTGTACAACTATATATATATATATGTAATAATAAAAGCAAAGGAAAAGGAAAAGACAGAACACTGCAGATGCGTGATTAGACCCATGTTGAAGAAGAATTTTGATTGCGTAGTATTTAAAGATTGGCAGTCGAGCAGTTTTAAATTCCATTTTTATTTCCAATTGAATTTGTGGCCACAATCGTGGCACTAGTCGTGCTTTTTCACACAGATTTACATTTTTATATATTGTTAAGATGAAGCAAGCCACGAAATTCATCTTAGCAGTAGAGGGCAAAGCTGAAGTTGCGTAGTTTTGAAAGATGGAAGTACGTGAAGAGAAAGTTTTGGTTACAAGGTCAGTTTCGTTCTAATTATTATGTCATCAGAGTTGCGCAGGCCATAGAGTGATCTAGAAATGACGCAATGCAGAGAAGTTATTACGATTTTAGAATAAAGAGGAAGAATTAATGTTTTTAGTTATTCTGATTCATATAATTTTGTCTTACATATATATATGTGTGTGTCTCTACATATATGTAATCAATGCAATGATGAGCTTAGAAAATGTATTTTGCATTCGAATTTGCAAATTTCACATTGAATTTTATAAAAAATATGTAGTCACCACAAAATATTGAATTTTGATTAATGTGTACAAAGCAGCTGAATTTTATATGTACATTTATTTAAATCAATATGGTAAATGTATATAAATTCTATGCATTATCTACATTTCCTTTCTTATGTGATCTGGATATGGAATCTTCCAATGATTTTTTTGAAATGACTATGGTGTCAATTACATTTAAAAAGCGAGCATCTCCATCCCAATTCCTGAAATATCAAAATAAATAAAACATAGAATTAATATTCCTTATACACAACTATCATTATCAGGTACAACATACATAAACAGTTTAACAGAAAACCACAAATCAGAAAAGTTTTCATTCTTTTAAAACGGTTTCCTCTTAAGCATCAGATCAAAAATATAAAAAGTGCTTTCATTTTTCAGAAATTAATTTTTTGTTTATTCTTGCTCTGCATCTTCTACCTGTTGCTTATATGAATTCACAGTTACTGACATTTTATTGTGATAGGAAAAGGGTTATCAAATTCTTAGGTAACAAGCTTAAGATGCACCTTGCATAAAAAGAGACAGTTCGATATCTCCCGTTCTACTGGATCAATTGTCAAAATTTAACTTGCGTTTTTCATATCTCAAAAGCGCGACTTAAGATATATATAAGATGTATATATAATACTGTTCCAACATAGGTATTCTGACACAAAATTGGACTTTTTCTGAAATAACTTATTAATTTTTTTTCCATATTTTGATTCTATGACTCATATTATGCCAAAATGGCATGTTTTGTAAAATTTGCACGAGTAGTTTTTAAAAAATTAGCTCTCAAAATTTCAGTTCCTCCATGTCAATTGAATTTGATATATATTTATTAATAGAATCTTTTTTTTTTATTAAACTTTGATTCTTCCTTTCATTTCGAAATTTAGGTTCATTCTAAAAAATTCGCACCTTTTTTTTTATTCTTTATTTTTAAAATTTATTTTTAAATAATTTTATACATTTTTCAAAAATAAATAAATAAATAAATTTGAATTATAACGTATAAAATTTTTACCATCATCTTAAAGTAGATGTATTTCCTTAGCATACCCGAAAAAAATTAGTTTTTTTTTATTCAAAATTTCCTAACATATATGTTAATTTACATATTGGCAAGTTTTGAAATTTGGCATTTTTATTATAAGCCATAATAATGCCAAATGTGGTTCATGAACTTTGTTAAAATTATCTGAAAATAATGAATAATGACTTTTTTACCACTAGTGTACAATGAGGGGGGAACCCCAAATTAGAGATAAAAATGTTTTTTCCCCCCATACAGTGTTGTCATTGCTTGTTTTGAAATCGTTCGAGTTTGTTATTAAAAATTCATCAAGTTTTGCAAGATATGAAGTAGATAAACCAAATTCCAAATTTTCACTTCCAGATGCTAATATCCAAGTGGAGGACTACATTATTAAAAATTTTTTTATGTCTCTAGGTACTGCTGTTTTTCACAATGCAAGAAATATATATGCAGATTCTTCATTATTTGATTTCTTTAAATATAATACAGGATGATAATATTTGGTGGCAACAATTTGCCTTTTAAAGCAGCCCTTCTGGGAAATAGGTTGCTATAAATTAACACTGAGTAAAATTGAAATTGCAACACACAGATCTGCTCATTGAAAATTTTGGACAGCAACTGCACATTTTCTGTGACCAATAAATGGCAACATTTGATAAATGTGACATTAATGCACATTATAATATTTATAATTTTAATTATTTTTACAAATGAAATTTTGATCAAACTATTTGTGAAAGCCATTTACATAATATAATAATGCCCAGAACATTATTTTCACAACTGTATATACATCGATTGGAAAGATCGGTTGGTTTTACGAACACAGACAGACTGCATGAGCTCTGATGATTCATCCGCTCGTGGTTAACCCATTAACCGCTGGTGTTGCGTTCACACAACGGTCAAAATAAATGCGCATATAAATATAACTACCTAAGATACTTTATATCAGCAGATGATTTTGTGTAGGGAATATTATGAAGATTATTTCTGTAAAAAAAAAATTTCCTTCAACAATCATTTTGTTTATAATAATTAATCTCATACTTTAAGCAAAATCTTCGACTGGGTATTTTTGCTGAAAATATTTAACGAAAGAAATGCCATCTTTATGAGTAATCTATTTTTAGTCAAGGTCACCGTTTATCAGAACATTACATCAGTCAGATGTTTATATTTGTGTTGGGAAGAAAGGAAAAACAGGTGTTGCGTTGATGCAACGTCAGCAGGAAACGGGTAGTTAATCTCCTTTTTCACTCATTCCTTTCGATGTTCTTGTTCATGTTCTGGTTGTTTAAAAATGCCAAAACGAGCTATCTTACATTAGAAGAAGCCTTTCAAAGATTTTTTGATGAAGAAACAGATGATAATAATATTAATAATAACCAGAATGAAACTGATATTGTTGTTTTTCCCCCTGAAATTGTAGAGGCTAGTGACGAAGAAGAAAGGAATGGCAATGTTTTAAATAATGATAATGATATTTTACAAAATGATACTGCTGGGGAAGTTGAAATTCACATAAGAAGTAAGTTTCAGCCTTCTAAAAGCAGTTATAGTCATACTAAAAAGTTTATAAAGCAGAAGACTGAAATCTTGAAGTGGATAAAAAAGGAACTGTTAGTTATGTCTCAGGAAGAACATGAAGAAAGAGATATAAATTATAAAAGACAAAACACAAGGTCAAACTAGTGCACACATTTTCGATTTTCTTTTTGGTTTAGACATTTACTCTCTTCTCATTAAACAGACAAATATATACACTCGGGGGAAAAAAAAAATGCGCCCAGAATTTATTGCATCTGAAGCCTATATGAGAAGATTTATTGGAATAATATTGCTTACAGGATATCATTCTTTACCTCAAGAAAAAATGTATTGGTCTTTTGATAAGGACATTTCTGTTCCTGTTGTATGAGAATTGATATCGTTTGCAGTACAGGAATATGAAGCAGAATTTGCATTTGACAATAGTCAAATTGACAATACTGATAAATTATATGAGGTGAGACCATATCTAAACTTACTAAATATCATCACTTTTTACTACTGGAAATATAAAGTCTGTTTTAGATTTCAGACGCGAGAATGCAATATTCGTTTTGCAAACTCCTATTGAAGAGTGTATAATTAGCCAGAAAATAGATCAGCAACAGGAAGACCTAGTAAATTCAGCATTCAAAAACCATTGCATGGAGATGGTAGACATTTTATCGTAAAGTCCGTTGATAACAAAAGACTTTGTTGTAAAGAGTACCATAGCCAGACTGTTTATAGATGCAAAGTATGTAATGTAGCTTTACATCATGATTGTAATCAAACTTTTCATGCTTGAATCTTTCAAATGAAATAATCTGTATTTGTAAAAGAAATACAATGTATATTTTAATATTAAATTAATTACAAGTAAAGTGATTTGTAGATTTATAAAACGTTATACAGCTAAAAAGTAATCCTGCGCTCCACTCAAAAGAAACATCACGAGTACAATCCTACTCACTAAACATCCGTAGTCTTATTCCGCTGATGTTGCACGAACGCAACACAACGCTCGCTTTTTCCACAGGTAAGAGCATTTTTTTAAATTTTCAATGTAAATTTATGTTATAAATGCTTAATTTAATATTTGTTATTATTTTCATGAGAAAAGAAACATTCCTTGTAGTTTTGGCGGTTAATGGGTTAAGAAAGTCATAGTCGTCGTATTAAGTCTGAAGCATAAGAGGTATCTGCTCAGCATGATTCTCACATTCAACTATTGGCACAGATGCCATAACTGTTTCAGGCATTTGGTAACAAAGGGAGTTAAATAGAGACTATAACACTAGTGCTCCAATACAACTATGTTATCGCACTGACATGATTCATCATCATAAGCCTCTCTAAAATGGAATCCATGGATGGTTGGCACTGAAAACTTTTGCATTTTATTAGTAATATCTTTATACTCATTCTTGTCTAACCCCAGATACTGCTTGCAGGCTGCTTTATCCTAGACATATGCCAACATATTCTTAGCAGAAGCCAAAGAGTACAGAATCATATCAAAATGAAATGTAAAATTAGGCAAAAAAGCAATCTGATCAAAGCTGAAAGCAAATCGAAAAAGAAATGATAATATTAAAATACTCAATGTTTTGGGGAAAAACTAGATTGGAAATAGTGTGTAACATCTAGGTACATTTTTGTGAACCTCAAATGCCCTGTAGTGATCCCCAAAGCCAATCAAATACTTACATCACTAAGCAGTTTTAATATCAAAATCTACCGCAAAGTATTGCTCATAAGGCTGTTACACATGTAAGCACTTTCGTGATAAAGTATTTAACTGCCACGGAACAGATTCCAAGGTCATTCATTAAATGTTGGCAAAGGCATAGGGAATTGTACATCACACTTCCTCTCAATATTGCATAAATGGCAACAAAGATTTAAAAAAAAAAAAAAAAAAAAATTAGTCAGCTTTAGGCTGGCTACAAGCAAATCCAATTCATCAAAGAATACTTTTAGCAAAATAAAAGCATAAAACAATATAAAATTGCTTTCTTCTTTAGGGAAATGCCTAATTTTTGTTTGAGTCATTTTTGCAGTAAAATCTACAGATGAAATAAATAATATAATCATGGAAGAAAAATCACATTTTATGATCACATGCAATATATATTTTTTTATATGCAATATTTTTTTCAATCTTGGCCTTCATCAAATAAGTTCAAAATTGATATTTGGTTTTATGATTGGCATGAAATATAATACTCGATACGTGGAATGAATAAAAGATACTTACACAAAGTATTCAAAAGACTGTTTCTTAGTTAAATTAGGAATTTCTGTAGAGAGAAAAAAAAATTACATCTATATAAAAATAAATGCGCACACACATATAGTGACAAAAAAGTGACTACATACTTCATTTTATTAAATACTTAACCCAGCTACCTAATCCACTCATTTATAATGATTCTTAAAATAAAGATAAGAGATTTTTATCAAAGTTTTTATAAATATAAAGTAACAATTTATGAGCAAAATTTGTATATGCATGTTTCATCAATGTTTTTTATTAGGTTACGAATCATTAAACAGAAAGCAGTATTTATTTTGAGATTGCTTTTTTAATTTGATTTAAGAGTCTTGACTGTCTATCACTAACAGGTACTGAAAAGTAATCCAATTTGCGGGGAAAAAAAAAAAAAAAAACCCTTGTAAGTCTTCACAAATTTGAAGCATAAAAGCATCGTAATTTCATTTATCAGAATTTTTGCTCAGTGAAAGCATTTGAAAAACCAGATTCTGTAAATTGAGAATACGAGAGTTGCTATTTATATTTCTGGCCTAGTAATAAAAAAATAAATGTTTATGATCGAAATTGGTTTTGTTTTTCAAAATATTCTCCATGAAGATAAAAAAAAACTTCTGCATGCATCTGAACCAATTTTCGAAGCACTGTTCCCACTCTGATTGAGATAACTCCAAAACTTATGTTTTAAATGCATTAACCACTTCTTTGGGTGTTGCAAATCACTGGCCATGTAACCAAACAAATGGTTGTGTACTATTCAGAATTGATTTTCCTGTGTCGCTCTAATGCCACTGTCGTCATGTGATGGTAATACTGAAGAAACAGGCAACCATTTACTTTGATGTGCTTCTTCCACGAACAACTTTTGTTGGATTTGGCTCATCTTGGAAGACCCATACAGTCCACTGCTGTTTTGTTTCAAGCACATATGCATAGATCCATGATTCGTCACCTGTGTAGATATTATAAGCAGCCTTTGATGCACCTTGAATGTATGTTTCCAACACTTCCTTGTAGCAATCGACATGAGCCTTTTTTTGAGCGTTGTCAGATTAAGTGGGATCCAATGCGAACAAATCTTTTTACGGCCAAATGTTCACGTAATAGCTTACTGATGTTTGTTCTACTAATGCCCAAAGATGCCTTAATCTCACGGTAGGTCACATGATGATCTTGCTTTATCAGTTCACACACACCATCGATATTTTCTGGCACAACAACCGGATTTGGGAGACCTTCACGGAATTTGTCCTGGAGCGAATGTCTACCACGATTTAATTTATTATACAGTCAAGTCGTTAATCCGGACTCGTCGGGACTTCGGCGATTCCGGATTATCGATTTTTCCGGATTATAGATCATCAGTTTAAATCTGGTAAAATGGCATGCAAAATTATAAAAATTAAAAATATGAAACCGTAATTTACGAATAAAGAACAATTATGATCTAAAGGGTATCAAAATTTACCAAAAAAAAAAAATAAGCTTAATATTATTTTGTTTACTTTATTAAACATTTCTTTCAATGTAAGTTGTTTAAGTTGCTTCGTTTTTTTATGTGATAATACATTCTCTTTAATTCCATAAATAGACATAATTTCTTGTTCAGTCAAAGTTCCGCTGTTCAAGTCCTATAATTGCTGTATCGAGAATACCGACTAATTTGTCAATCGAAATTTTTTCGTTTTCAATAACCTCTGTCAGTTTCTTCGCTATCGGAAGCGAATTATTATGACGAGGCATTTGATTTAAATCATATCAAAGACGGAGTACATCGATAGGAAATACCACATTTAGTAAGCAATTATAAGCCAAATAAAATAAAAACATCTGCCCTTAAGATAAGGATAGTGTTGACAGATCAACTTCCAATTCATTGCGCTCTGCGGCGTTAAAGATAAACAAAGTTTAGATAAACAAACGTTAAAGTTTAGATAAACAAAGGATATGGCTTTATTTATTTTTTGCAGCAATTCTACTTTTTGTTTAATGGACTCCGAAAGATACTTTCGCTTTGTATATCCTTTACATATTAGTAAATATATATCGGAAATTCTATTTGAAATAATCGAAAGTTCAAGCTTACCTGCAAAAAATAATAAGCCGGATCCAATTCGAAGATTAAGGAACAACGCAATCTGCAACATTAACTGAAATAGATAATCAGATAATTTTAGCTTAGCTTATCCCGTCCGTTGCACATTAAACGCGCATTCGTAAATGTATTTTGCGCACCCACACGCAAATTCGCAGCCGTAAAGGTCTTACGCGCATGCGTCAACGCGACGCATGCGCAGAAAGTTTGTAGCTTTGAGGTCCGGATTATGGGTGTCCGAATTAACGACTTTTGACTGTACCAGTATTTTACAGTGCTGCAGGATGGTACTTTAGGGCTGTATAAAGAAAAGTTCATCAAAGCACTCTTGTCTTGATAATCCATGCCAAAAAAATATGAAAATCGCACGAAAATGTTCATGAATTAATCCCATTGTTTGCCGGAGATCAATTTTTTATTTTACTGTAAACAACAGATATCATGCTAAAATGGCAAAACGTTTTGAAAACGTTATGGTTAAAATTAACAAACTTTCAATTGGAACCGTCTGCACTCACCTAACAACACTTACTGTTACCAAGGCCAGAAATATAAATAGCAACATTCCTATTCTCTCCTCCTGATGCTAGTATGGTTTTTTTCAGAAAATTTCCTACCTTATCTCTCAGAACTTTATAATTGGAAATGTTATTTTAGATCAATATTTAAGGGAACAAAGCCTGTATGTAACTACGTTCTTAAACTACACTCTCAAACATACTGTAAAACAACTGAAATCCTAAATTTATCACATTTATAAATAATACACATTTTTTTACATATGTACAGAAAAAGTTTGACTATCTGGAAGGTTCTGGAAATGCCAGATACATGAAAATTCCAAATAGATGAGAATATGCAAAATGAAATTCATGATGAAAAAAAAAAAAAAAAAAAAAAAAAATGAATGGAACAGATCTACACTTAACATCATGTGAGATTTAAAAAAAAAAAAAAAAAAAAGAAATCTAACATAAAAGCCAGTGTATTTTTGTAAACCTTAAACATGAAAATATCTGATTGCAAAAATCTCATTGGCCCAGCAAGATACTGATGTAATCATTCAGGTAGAAATTATTTACACATATATGTAACATATAAAAAAAACTGCTTGCCATTTTCTCACTGCACTGTGATTGTCGATCCATTTTCAGATAATCACACATCATCCTTAATGCCTTCCTGCCAGTAGGTACTTCACACCATATCATTCCATTTTGGGTAAATCGCAAGTTTTAATTATTTTTTTTAAAATGTTATAAATAGCAGTTAGTTAATTTATTGGGTGTACAAATAAGTTTTGAAGGATTTACATAAGATGGCGTTACTACTATTAAATCCTATCGGACAATCTTGTAACTACATTGATGTTAAAGTGCCAGCATTTCCATCAAAAAATCAGTGTGTGTTCATTTTGCTGAAGTGTAAACAACGAACTTTCTTTGTCCTCATATCAACTTTTGTACCAACAAAACAAAATTTGCAGGAAGCGCTTCTTTTTTCTTTTAATTTGAAGAAAAGTGTAGCTGATGGACATCGACTGCTGTGTGAAGTATATGGGGAAATATGCTCCATCCAAAAAAAACATGCAAGTACTGTTTCCGGCATTTTAGACATTGGACCAAGATTTATGCCAAACTCAAGAGGAGCTAACCAAAACCTTGGGGGTGACTTAACAAGCAGTTTCAAAGCGTCTCAAGACCACGGGTATGGTGCAAAAACAAGGAAAGTAGGTTCTGTATGAACTCAACCAACAGACATCGAATGCCGTTTTTTCACGTGTGAACAACTGCTCCAAAGGCAAAACTGGAAGGAGGTTTTGCATCAAATCATGATGAGGGGACCAAAAAATGGATCTACTTCGACAACCCAAAGCACAGAAAACTGTGGGTTAAGCCTGGCCATACATCAAAAAACTTCAATGGTCAAACCGAATAGTCATGACAAAGAAGCTAATACTGTGCATCTGCTGGGATCAGCTCAGTGATCTATTATGAGCTACACCAGCCTTACAAAATCATCACTGGAAAATATTACAAACAAGAGTTGATGCAACTAAGGCTCAGATGTCAAAAGACATGACAAAGTGATCTTTCAGCACGACAACGCTCGACCACATGCTGCAAAAGTCGTCAAAGAAACTTTGGAGGCACTTCTATGGGATGTTCTATTCCACCTGCCATGTTCACCACACATTGCTCCTTCTGACTTCCTCTTGTTCTGATCAATGACTCATGACATGGCTGAGCAGCACTTCATACGGAGAAGCCAAAAATTGGGTTGGTTCTTGGATCGCCTAAAAAGACAAGGAATTTTTAAACGCAGAATCCGTATGCTACCTGAAAGATGGGGAAAAGTCTTAGCTAACAATGGAGAATACTTTGAATAAAATACATTCTTCCAATTTCTCTACATAAAGCTTCAAAGTTTAAAAAAAAAAAAAGGTTGAAAATTTATTCGTACACCCAATATATATATATATATTTCTTCACAAAAACTAAATTATTATTATTATATATATAACAGTTTGTATTGCAACATTATTATCCATCATTCTGGATTGAAAAGACATTTTTCTCTACCTCTGAATGACAACATGAAAAGTAGTAGAAATGCACTGATTTAGAAAATGATAAGTGGCAACACTGTCAGATGGAACTCTTTCGATCTGCTCTGATGCGGCTTGAATACTACTATTGAGATGTTATATTATTTTGTTCTTGATATTCAAATAAAATAATTTTAAAACTAAATTGAATGTTGATTTTAAATAGAAATACCACTGAACCGCCACATACAGAAATTTATACGCCACCAATAGAATTGTAAGGATGTGTTAGCTATGCCGTTAACATCTGAGCACTGAACCGCACTGTTCGGTACAGTTTCTGTTTATTCTCAGTCACAGTCCTATATCTGCTTTATCGTGCTAC